AATGTATTTCTATATACTAGAAACAAACAATTGCAAATTCAAATAAGCAAAACCAGTATGATTTACAGTGGCATCAGTAAACATGAAATAAAAACCCATTGCTGTCAACTCAATTCTGACTCATAGCAACGCTACAGGACAGAGAGCTGCCCCATGGGGTTTCCAAGGCTGTAATCTTTAGGAAGCAGACTGCCACATCTTGCTCCTGTAGAGTGCCTGGTGGATTCGAACCACCAACCTTTCAGTAAGCAGTTGAGCACTCTTCCCAAATTTATCTATAGATTTAACCTAATCACAATAAAAATCTCAGCATGGTTTTTTTGTTGTTTTTTGAAGACTGACAAACTGATCCTAAAATTTCTGTGGGAAAGCAAAGGTCTAGAATAGCCTAAACAATTTTGAAAAAAGTGAACAAAGTTTGAGATATCATGGTACCTGATTTCAACACTTAATATAAAGCTGCACACCAGAAAGCATGGCCCCTGGATTCTCTAACAGCCCAGAACTAAAACAGTTTCCGAGGCCAACTCTTCAGACGGGGATTGGACTGGACTGTGGCACATAAAGTGATACTCTTGAGGAGTGTGCCTGTTCGCTCAACTAGACACAAGAGGCTAAATGGGCAGCTTCTGTCTGGAAGTGAGATGGGAAGGCAGACAGGGTTAGGAGCTGGTTGAATGGACATGGGGAATCCGGGGTGAAAAGGAGGAGTGTGCTGTCACAGTATGGGGAGATCAATTAGGGTCACATAACAATGCATGTATAAATTTTTGTATGGGAGACTAACTTGAAATGTAAACTTCATTTAAACTAAAACAATAAATAAATAAAGCTACAGCAATCAAGACAAAGTAGAAACTCCAGTAATAGACCCACAGATGTATGGTCAACTGATTTTGACGAAGGTACAAAGACAATTGGAACAACTGGATAAGCATATGTGAAAAAAATGAACCTAGACCTAGCCTTACTCCTCACATAAACATTAACTTGAAATGGATCATAGATCTAAATGTAACATAAAACTAAAAACTATGAAACTTCTAGAAAAAATTACAGAAAATCTTTGTAACCTGGATTAGGCAGAGCTCTTATATATGACACCAAAACGACAATACATAAAAGAAAATTGATAAATTGACTTCATTAAAATTAAGAATTTCTGATCTTCAAATGTTAAGATAGGAGAAACAGAGGACTGGGAGAAAATATTTGCAAATCACAAAGTATTTATATCCAGAATATATAAGATCTTTCAAAACTCATTAAAAAACAAACATAGCAACAGAGAGAAATGGACAAGTTCTGAATAGATACTTTACCAAAGAAGATATATGGATGGCATGATATATTGTGAGTAGGCATATAACACGGTACAACCACTTTGGAAAGGTCTGGCCTTTTCTTATAGAGTGACCACATGCCTTAGCCATCCCACTCATTATCCAAGAAAAATGAAAACATGGTCACACATAAACCTGTACATGTTTATGTAGCTTTATTCATCAACACCAAAAACTGCAGAGAACACGGTGACTTTCAACTGATGAAAGGAAAAATAAAACATATTTACAACAACACAGATGAATCCTAAATGCATTATACTAAGTGAAAAAAGCTAGACTTAAAAAAACTACATACTATAATGATTTTAGTACCACCTCTAGACATTCTGGAAAAGGCAATACAAAGATGGGAAACATATCAGTGGTTGCCCTGGGTATGCATTTGTCAAAACTCTTAGAACTGTACACCAAAAGGAGTGAATTTTATTGTATTTAAGTTTAAAAACAAAATCCATTAAAGCATCAATAACATAGTTCTTATGGTGATAGCAGTGGAATTGTGGCAAATTGCTATCTCCTTTTTTTTTTTTTGTACTTTATATGTAAGTGGCCAAGTTGGGAGGGTGAAGTTCTGCTTTGTGAATTGTAGTTGTTCTTTTTTTTCCTCCCCATTATTAGTTCCTCCCTCACTGCACATTTCCCCTTCCTTTGACTATTACTCTTCCTTAAACCCTTGACCTTACGGAATGGGAGTATTTAAGGAGACAGGTTTTTAATTAACTTCCTAGATTCTAGAAATTTCCTTCTATTTTTAGTATGGTAAATGTTTTTTTAATCCTATTAACTTTTGATTTTGTAATTTCTTTTTAATCTGGTAACAGGATACACTGGAGCCCTGGTGGTACAGTGGTTAAGAGCTCAGCTGCAAACCAAAAGGTCGGCAGTTTGAATCCACCAGCCGCTCCTTGGAAACTCTACGGGGCAGTTGTACTCCATCCTGTAGGGTCGCCATGAGTTGGAATCGATTCGATGGCAATGGGTTTGGTTTTTGGTTTAACATGGTATGTTATGGTAATAAATTTTCTGATGTTGAACCATCCTTGCTTTCCTGGGATAACCTTACTGGATCATAATACACTACACATTGCTGTTTGATTTGCTATTTAGGATTCTTGTATCTATATTCTTTTTCCTATACTATCCTTGTGTGGTTTTGACAGGGTCTGGGATTTTATGCTACTTACAAACTGGAGTCAGCTTTTTACTGTTCCACGGATGCTGACAGAAGAAACAAAACTCCTGAGTCAGAGACAGATGACTTTGTTGCTCACAGCATAGCAAGCAGCACAAGCATCATTTGCATCATCAGTTCCCTTGATTCCCAAACCCCAGAGGAGCAGGTACCAGGTAGATGGTGCACATGCAGTGAGCTTATGTAGCTGTTGAGGAATACTGACCTTGGGGAATCTACCTCTTTTATATAAGGCCTGCTGCCATGGATTGAATTTTGTCCCCGCAAAAGTATGTATCAATTTCGCTAGGCCATGATTCCCAGTATTGTGATGTCCACCATTTTGCCATCTGATGTGATTTTCCTATGTGTTGTAAATTTATCTCTATGATGTTAATGAGACGGGATTAGTGGTAGTTATGTTAATGAGCCAGGGACTCAGTCTACAAGATTAGACTGTGTTTTAAGCCAGTCTCTTTTCAGATATGAGAAGCGAGAGACAGGGGGACCTCATACCACCAAGACAGCAGCCCCGGTTTCCTGCGATGAGAAGCACCCAGACCAGGGGAAGACTGATGACAAGGACGTTCCCTTAGAACCAACAGAGATAGAAAGCGTACCCCTAGAGCTGGCATTCTGAATTTGGACTTCTAGCCTCCTAGACTGTGAGAGAATAAATTTTTCTTTATTAAAGCCATCCACTTGTGGTATTTCTGTTATAGCAGCATTAGACAACTAAGACACCTGCTTTTCCAGATGGAGACATTACTTCATCCTTCAAGGTTGTTGATAAACGGTCCAAAGAGTGGTCAGGACCTTACATTGTTGATCTATCCAAGAAGAATGTGTAGGATCTCTTAGAGCTCAACACAGATTCTCTCTCCCAACAAGGTTTTGGCATCAAGGTTACACTAACATCAGCGAACACGTTGAGCTTTCTCTTTCTAATCCCAGAAACTATTTGGACAAATTAGAGACTTACGTTTTCTTGAATAGGTAAAATTCACTATAAACTGGGCCTTGTGCCTTGGTGGGGGAAAGAGGAGAATTTTAATGTGGTGGTCATTTTTTTAAACAGTCATTGGTTTTCGATTTTTTCTTGTGTGAACATTTTTTTTCAGATAATTCATATTAATTTCTCAATTATATAGGTTGCTTTTATGATTGCTTCAATCTAGTGTACCTCTATGTCTCCTTTTTCATTCAAGATATTTGTGTCTTTCTCTTTTTTTTAAATCTGTCATTTCTTTTCCTCCCGAAATATCAGCTTTTGGTCCGTACCCTATAGCTCCTGCATTTTCCTCTAATTTCCTTGTGTCCCCCCTCCCCCAGTCACGGGAACTACTTAAATTTTCTTCCACATACCCACTAATGGGTTTGAACTGGACTGGGAACCATGGTTCCTATTCATCCTGTTTTTTTGGCTGGTACAGCACACCTCCCACCTTCAAAATTTCCATGAAAGGACTAGATACAAGTCTCTATGTTCTTCAGACTCCTATAGGAATATCTGCAGGTATTCCAAGAAATTCCTCACCTTGGCATTGTTCTCAAGGTGGTACCAGTTTAGGCCTGTGGATTTCTAAGGCAGACTAATTATTTACGCAGAAAAAAAAAAAAAAAAAAAAGACTTATCTCATCCTTGCAGACAACCACAATCCAAGTATTTCTTGTTACCCCTACATCCCTTCACTTGGTTTGGGGAACAGGAATGCTGGCTCAACTGTCTCTTAGTAGGCCCTAAGAGGGTGGGGTGAGGTCTTGGCAACTGTTTCAGATTCTCTTTAGAATGTAGAGTATTAATGTTTCTTTTTCAGCATTAGGCTGTGGTTGTTAAAAATGTTAGAAATGGCTTGGAACAAACTGTGGACCCACATGTTTTGAAACATCCTTTATGATGAAGAATTTAAAAACTGAATAAGGCCACTCGATAGAATAATGTAAGTAAATTGATAAGCATACTACAATCTAGATTGTACTTCAGAAAATCAGACACCTGGCATCAAGCTGACATAGGGAATTTATTTTTTAGAAAAGCAACATCTACAGAATGCCACAATAGCCCTAGGATGTCTACAGTACTATAAAATGGCAATTGCTCATAATGACAACACTGAAGCTCTGAAAGAAACCAAAGTACTTTCTGAATCCAAGAAGTCAAATTATATTCAGTATGGTTTTAATGTCCTCATATATCTCAACGGTCTAATAGTGTGACATTTGGTAAACCAAAACATCCAATTAATCATATAACTCATTACCCAGGTCTACTTACTATACTTATCTGGCATATTTCCACACAAATATTTTTAAGTTTCAATTTCTTAGTCAATTGATATATTGCTTGAATTCATTAAATATGTTTAGACTTCTCTATTCTACAAAGCTAAATGTACAACTAAATTAGTATATAAAAGTGCTCACTGTGTTTTTAAGGGACAAAAATGTTTATGAATGCACTCTATACTAATTTTGCCTTTTTCCACTTTAAGTGTTTTCCCCCTTTTATTTTATAACCAATTTCATGATTAAGAAATCTATGCCTCTTCAACTTTCACAGATTCTTCTCTTTTTCTCCCTATTCCCTAGTTTAAATTCAGTACAAGTTTCCTTGGTATCTTTGGCTTCGGGTACATTCTTACTCCTAAACACCAGCAGTTCTTCAGAGCTTTAAAATCCAGCATGGGAATTACTGTGTTAAACTAGTTCTAGAAAAAAGAATTATAGACATTTTTTCCTGAAATATACAGAACATGTCATGCCAAATCTCTTGTTTATACAATAAACTGGCAATATTGGTGAATTGCACATATAGCTTATATTCCCAAAATAGAATAACTTAAAATATTAAAACATACCTTTGTTATCACCATAACTGACCTTACAAGCATAAAAAACAACAATATTCAATACAAAAACCACAAAATACACTAACCTTAAATGCTGCATATTACAGCACACATGCTTTCATCTCCCTATGACCTATTCAAACTATAGATGGCAATGCTTTTTTAAACTACTCTAGCATTTATACTGTAATTAGAAATTTATACGAAACACAATTTTATGCTCAAATACAGAAATAAGCAACATAATCCCAAAACCTAAAAGTATTCCAGCATTCTGTAAAAAGAAATATCCCCAGCGGCTACATCCATGGTCGCTAGCATCATTATGCAGCATCTCAGGTACCTTAAAGGAAAAAAAAGAAAACCACAACATTCAAGTTTCCAGAACTAGAGATTAGTTTTTGAAAGAATTTTCAGGATAATATACTATACTAGCTTAATTTGCAACTAGATATGCTATGGGTCAATACCTTAAAACATGACAACATACAAACTGACTCTAGCTAATAATTCTACACAGCATTTCCCAGCAGTTTAATTAACAAAGATTAATTATTGTGTGCTGAGCAAGTCAAAATTTGTATTGGTCCAGTTTGTTACCACCTGTGTATCTGAACTGAATACATGTGGGTCACCTGAAGTTCAGTGATATGGAAACCTTACACTATATAAAATATCATTTTAGCAATTATACTAGCTGGGATTATTATGTGGACTTTGGTGACAAGAGGGTATGATTCCTCTGTCGATTAATAAGGGATCTTTAAGCATACTGCAAGTACACTCAGCATGCCAACAATATGTGATTTGTGCTAGGTTTCCTCTAAACCTATAAACAATTCAATGCCTGACTACTGAGATTCTATTCTTAGACACATCAGAAGCAGGCAGATATTTTTGTGCATCCTGATATGTGTGCTTGGTGGGATCAGGGTATGCTTGTGACCAACAATCTAAAAAGATAAACTCTAAAGGATGTATATTCTACACGCTGCTCTACTGAATACAGAGGGGGGAAAAAAAACCAAACTTCTCATTACTACTGTATTTAATCTAAAATCTGTAAAAAAAAAATGATTTCACCAAACATTTTCACTATTTCATTGTTACTCAGGAATATTTGACTTTTAAAAACTTACCATATCAACAAGAGCAACATACATGAATAAGCCAGCAGTAAGTGCAAATATCCACATAGAAACGTTTTCAGCATAATGCCCAATGAAAATTCCTGTTGCCATTCCAAGATATGCCAGCATGGCTGACAAAGCATTATAAAGAACAGCCTGCTTAACAGTCATGCCAGCCTTTAGTAAAACAGCAAAGTCACCTTTAACAGAAAACAAAAAAGGGAACAAAGTAACTGAAAAATGATTTTTTAGGACATATACTCTAAGAGATTTCCCAGATTTAAGAAAATTCTCCACGTTTTTAGGGAAAATAAGAATTACCCAGGGTTAAAGCAGTGTTAATTACCCTAACAGCTCTATAAACTAACATACCATTTATCTAAAGTTTTTCATAAGGCTTCCAACTTTCTCAATGAATGATAAATATCAAGAACCTACTACTGTGTTCTACACTGTCTTCAAGGAGCGTATCACTGGCTGCAAACGCGGGAAGAGGAGTGGAGAACACACATGAAATGATCAGCAAATGATACAGGCGACATATAATTAAGAGCTAAAGTATCTAATGTTATAGTTATAAAACAGAAAGGAAGGTTGTAATAGTTAAGAGCTTTCACAGGGCGTGAAGGACCTAGAATGTGGAACATAAATCAGACGTTGAAGGATTGCAAGCAGTGAGTAGGCAGCTGGGAGGCCTTCTGAGTGGCAGAACACATGCCAAGGAACAAAAGTGAAAATGGTGTCAGGGGTACGTCTCTACAAGAAAAAAAGACATGAACTGAGATCCAGAAGAACTCTCGGCAAGTATGAGGGATAAGGCTGAACTTGTAGGATAACAAGTACCCGTGTTTTAAGTCCTGGTGACATAAGAAGTATTCAAAACACACCACATCAAATTCCCTTTTCTCCAGCTCGAATGAGATTCCGTTCCCAACTTGCGTTCATGGAAAATGATTCTTTTGTATCTTGTGATCTTATTCATAGTGTGTGTATGAAGAGATTGATTACTGAAATCACCAGTATGGAAGATATCTGGTAGGGGACAAGGATGAGGGAGGGGGTCTAGGTGCCTTTCTGGCAATCCCACATAGGCAATTGTGTACTTGTACTCATAGGGTCAGAATTCTGACTGGAAACAAACTTGTGCTTAGTAAGAAAAAAAGTGAACTACAGTAGCAGACTTACCAGAAGGTGTGAAAGTTACCAGGAAGCTTACTAGAACTATCAATAGCAGAAGCCAGTGACACTAGGACACTCCACCCACCTGGCAAATACAGTTTATATCGTACACTCACCTAATTCATGAGGCAACTCATGACAAAACACAGCAACAGAAGTACTTAAACCACTCGATAAACCTTCAGTAAAAGCAGCACCTGTGTAAAAATCAAACACAAAATTTGGCTACATTATTTTTTTTTTGTGTATGTTTTGTTTAATCTTACCAGCATACAAAATAAGGTAAAAAAAATTAACTATTTTTGTTGTGAATAAACAACTTCTCAACTCTGTATCTTCTTTATAAGTAATTATATTCAATTAGGTTTAACCTTTCCAAAGGAGCACAAGCACGTATGATAAAAGAAGGGAAGGTTCAACTATAGAATGATTAGATGGTCTTATACAAACCTGAGAAGTAACCGCTACCATCTAAAAACACTTATTTAAGAAGATAAATTTAAAATGTTTAGAAAAACCCCGCAGTCAAGAGTGTAACCTATGTTTCAGTGGCCTCAGAGCAATCACTATGTAATTAAGACTTGTTTGTACTCATTCTTCTGCTATCTCATAAGGAGAGTCTAAGACAAATAGCTCCCTCTCTTTCACAAAGCACATTAGACAGTGGACCAATTATAAATCATGACTGTGCACTTGCACACCCCCCACCCCCCCAGCCACTGTCTGCTTATACTGTGCATAGTACAATACTGTCTAGGAAAAACAGCACCAGATTGGTGCTCATCTCAGCCTAACTACAACAGTACTCACACTTGGCCAAGTGGCTTTCACCTTTCCAGGCTTCAGCTGCCTCATCTGTAATGATTTCTATGATTAGTGCTGGTTCCTCCCAACATCAAGTTACTAAAATCTGTCAGCATTCCATTATGTCCAAATTTAATAGCAAAAGCTCTGTAATTTTTCTCTGAATACAGATCGGTAACTGAACTTATCAAATACATGAAAATTTCTTTAGCATAAATGAAAGGATGATGGAAAAGATCCTTTTAACTTAATAAATACAGTTTATACAATAGGTAAGGGAACTTAAATGTATAGGGACAAAACCTCACACGTACTCCAGGTTAAAGCCTGATCTTAAGATTTGCAAAATTAAGAACAAGTTTTGATAGCTATAGTCCAGGTAATGTTCTAGGCAGAGTTCTTAGCACTTAATCATATCTAACTAATTTATTGAATACTTTATTGTAAAAGTAGCCAAAGAAAAATAACATCCTGACAATCTTGGAATACTAGCCTTATCTAAACCAACCTATTCTTTGTTAAAAACTGACTGGCAGTTTACTGTGACATTTTCAGAGTCAACCAACAAGGAACAGATATGTAGATGAATACCAATTGCTAGGCCATCACTGAAATTGTGCAGGCCGTCACCCATTATCACCATCCAAGCCAACGTGGCGATGCCAGCATCTTTCAGCTCTTCCCGAGAGTAACGCTGACTGTGACTGTGGGGATGGTGGTTTTGGTGGTGGTGGTGATGGAGAATATGATGGTAGTCATGATGGTGGTGAATGAGATCGTCTGACTGGCCAAGTGTGTCATGAAAATGCGAATGGCATTTATTCTTGCACCCTCTGGGTACATATTCATTGTAAACTTCTTGCGGATGAGCATGAGCTATCATGACTTCTTCTTCCTCCAAGACTGCTGGCTGTTGAGAATCAAAATGTGGGGGCTCTTGAGTGTCTGCTTGTAGATAGCCTTCAGGTCCTAGGTATAAACAACATTGGAAGAAAGTAAGAAGACTTTTTCATGTACTTGGATATATTTCAAACATTCCAAATGACAATTAAAATCAATAATGTACCTTAAAGTATGGCAACTCTCTCACATACACCTTCAGAACTAAACATCATTGCTGATGAAAAATATCAATAGGTTTTCATAAATTTTAGAAACTAAATGGTCTAACATATTGACATGAATGGGTTTTAAACATTAACCTTCAATAACTCCCCTCAGATTCTCCCTTAATTTCTTCTGTCTCCCTACATTTTTAAAAATGGCTTTTTTTTTCTGATTATAAAAGAAGCATATGTGTATTTTAGAAAAACTTCAATATGAAAAGTGGAAATAAAAAATAAATATGCATAATCTCATCTGACATGTTCTTTTCTGCAGTGCAAAATTCAAGGAAAAACAGAAGAACCTGAAATATCACCACAAAGAAGCATTTATTATATATCTGTGCAAAGAAAATAAATTGCAACAAAGTTGTTTTTATAATTTGTTATTTTTGTTGTTGCGAACATACACAGCAGCACACAGACTGATTCAACAATTTATACATGTACAATTCAGTGACATTGATTACATTCTTCAAGTTGTACAACCATTCTCACCCCCCTTTTCCGAGCTGTTCCCCATTAACATAAGCTCACTGCCCCCTAGGGACCTGATAGTGCAATGGTTAACCATTTGGCTGCTAACCAAAAGGTCAGCAGTTTGAATTCACCAGCTGCTCCTTGGAAACTCTATGGGGCAGCTCTACTCTGTCCTATAGGATTGCCCCCTAAGTTTCCTATCTAATCTTTCGAGTTGTTGTTGTCAGTTTGATGCCATATAGATAGATCTTAAAAGAGCACAATGCTCAAGGCAGACATTCTTTACCAGTTAAAATTACTGCTTGTTTTTGAAAAGACTTTGGGGGATATTTTTGGTTTAAGATTTAAAGATTATCTCAGGGCAATTATCCAGCCTCCATGGCTCCAGAAAGACTGGATTCCGTAAGACTTTTAAATTCTATTCTGCATTCTCCCCCTTTTGATCACGATTCTTCTACAGAATCTTTGATGAAAATGTTCAGTAATAGTAGCCGAACACCATCCACTTCTGGTCTTATGGCAGAAGATGCAGTTGTTTATGGAGGCAATTAGCCACACATTCCATTTTCTCCTCCTATTCCTGAGTCTCCTTCTTCCTCTCTTGTTCCACGTTATTTATGTGAGACCAACTGTTGTACCATGAATAGCCACTTGCAAGCTTTTAAGACCTAAGGCACTTCACAATGAACTAGGAGGCACGACAGAAGCACTGAAAATGTTATTACGCCAATTAACTGGGATGTCCCATGAAACCATGACCCTAAACCTCCAAATCAAGGAACCAAATCCCATGAGGTGTTTGGCTGTACATAACCAGCCTCAGCAGCTACTCTTGCAAAACTAAGGTGTTGTTTTGTCTTTTTCCTGTACACTGGTACTAATTTTCTTGGAAGCATTCCTGACATTATGGCCCAATTCTACAGCAGCTATTTCTTCTTATTTTTATATGTTTCGCTGTAGTCCATTAAAAAAGGTTGCAGAAAGAACAGATGCAGGAAGGAGAGCAAGAGCATTACTTGCTCTTTACAGAAAGACATGTTGGAAAACATAGGGTGGACAGGAAGCCTTACAAGCAGGCAGCAGCAACAATAGTTTTTTTCTCCCCTCAGTCAGCAACTCTTTACTGAGCAACGTCCTCTGTGGCAGGCACTCTGCCAGGCACTGGGGATACAGTAGAGTAAGATAAGGTCTCTACTTCAAGGAGCTTGTATTATTGTGGGGAGGCAAGCACTTAACAAGGAAACACATGTAAAAATAAGGTAATTTAAGGCACTGGTAAGCGCAGGAAGAAAATAGAATAGGGTAATATGAAGGAGCATGACTGGGAGATCTGTTGTATTTGGATGATCAATGATCAGGAAAGACCACTGAGGAAAAGACATGAATCGAGTTCTGAATGATAGAAATACAATTTATGTGAAGATCTGGGAGAAAAGCGTTCAAAGGGGAAAGAGCAGTGAGTGCAAAGGCCCTGAGGCAAACTTGGTGCGCTCATAGGTTGAAAAAAGGTGTGGCTGGAGCAGAATGAACAGTGGGGAGAGTGGAGGGCAGGGTAGGCCCTCGGAGGTCATGGTGAGGAATTTGCTTTAAGGCGTTTCTCTTAACCGAATCTATACAATATGAAATGCCAATCTATCAGTCAAGTTATGGGAAAAATAGTAACTCTACAGTTGAGACGTTCTGGTAGACACAACCTTAACCAAGTAATCAAAGTTAACACTACTAGTAATGAGACAAAAAGCGTCATACTCGGTGGCATACCACGTCACTAAAAAAGGTACAATACCATTTGTGGTACTCCTATCAAAACCAATCAATCTAATCATGAATCTAATCATGATAAAACATTACACCAATCCAGAATGGGGCAACTAAATGCAACATTTGATTCTGAAACAATTTGCAGGGGGTAGCATAAAGGAATTAGTAAGACAATTGGGAAAATATCAATTGTCTTAATAAAGGTCAGTAGATTAGACAATGACATTATATCGATACGAATTTCCTGATTTTGATAACTGAACTATGATTACATAAAATAATATCCTTTTTCTCTTGAAAATTCACACATAAGTATTTAGAAGTAAAAACATAATGTCTGTAACTTACTTTCAAATGTTTTAGAAAAAACAGGTATTTGTGTGTACAAAGAATAGTAAACAAGTGTGAAATAACTGGGGAATCTGAGTGAAGAGTATATAGGAATTCTTTGAACCATTCTTTAAAGTTTTCTCTAAGTTTGAATTTACCTCAAAATAGAAAAACTTCAGAAAAAAAATATAAATAGAACACATTGGCAATTTTTTAAAAAAGTATATATAAAAAAAAAAAAGATGAGAAAAGTAAAAAGAAAAGCTACCTACTGGGAGAATATCTTTGGAAACCATATACCCAATAAGAATCTAATAACCATATATAAACATATATAAAACTACAACAATGTAGCAACAAAAAGACAAATAATCCAATCATAAAATGGGCAAAGGACATGAATAGACATTTCACCAAAGAATATTCAAATGGCCACCAAATTGCATGAAAAGATGCTCAACATCATTAGCTGTCAGAGAGATGCAAATCAAAACCACAATGAGATACCATTTCACAGGCTAAGATTTAAAAAAAAAAAAAAAAAAAAAAACCAAACCACAGAAAATAACAAATATCGGTGAGGATATGGGGAAATTGGAACCCTTACCCATTGCTGGTGGGAATACAAAATGATACGGCCGTTATGGAAGACAGTGTGGCAGTTACTCAAAAAAACTAAAAACAGGACTACCATACGACCCAGCAATTCCACTCCTAGATACATAGCCAAAAAACTTGAACACAGAGACTAAAAAAGAGACTCGTACACCAATGTTCACTGCAGCACTCTTCGTAATAGCCAAAAGGTGGAAACCACCTAAATGCCTATTGACAGAAGAATGGATAAACACAATGTGGTACATACATACAAAGGGATATGACTCAGCCAGTAGGAGAAATGAAGTCTTGATACATGCTACATTATGGATGGTATTTGAAGACATCATGCTAAGTGAAATAAAAGTCAATCACAAAAGGACAAATATTGTACGACCTCAAGTATATAAAAAGACAAGAAAAGGCAAATGTATAGAGATCAAAGTTTATAAGTAGTTACCAACAGTGGGAGGGTGAGGGAAAGAGGAAGAGGATTATTGCTTATGGAGTACTGAGATTTGGTTTACAGTGAAAGAAAAATCACATTGATTAAAGGTACAGTTGCACAGCCAATTAATGTAATTGCTGTCAATAAGTTGTACACCTGTAAAAAGTTGAATTGGCAAAAGTTGTGTGATAGATGTATTTACGACGACAAAGAAAAAATAAGAGTAGCTGCTGAGGCTGCTTATGTACAATCAAACACCTCATGGGATTTGGTTCCTGGTTTGGAGGTTTAGGGTCATGATTTCATGGGATATTCCAGTTAACTGGCCTAATAACTTGTTTAGTGCTTCTGTTCTATTTCCTAGTTTGTTGCATAATGCCTGGGGTCTTAAAAGCTTGGAAGTGGCCATCCAGGGCACAACATTTGGTATACACTCACCTGGCGCATCAGAGGAAGAAGGAGAGTCAGGAATAGGAGGAGGATACAAATGTGTGAATAACTGCCTCCATGAACAACTGCCTCCTTTGCCATGAGATCAGAAGAACTGGATGGTGCCTGACTACCATAACTGAACACTTTAATCAAAGATTCTACAGAAGAATCCTAATCAAAAGGGGGATAATACAGAACAGAATATAAAATTCTCATGGCATCCAGTCTTTCTGGAGCCCTGGAGGCTAGATAAACCCCTGAAACTACTGCCCTGAGATAATCTTTAAACCATAAGCCAAAAATATCCCCTGAAGTCTTCAAAACCAAGTAATAGTTTTAACTAGTAAAAAAGAATGTCTGCCTTGAGCATTGTGCTCTTTTAAGATCTATCTATATGGGATCAAATTGACAACAGCAATTCGAAGGATTAGACAGGAACCCTAGGGAACAGTGAGTGTATGTTAATGGGGGAGAACAACTCAGAAAAGGAGGGTGAATATGGTTGCACAACTCAAAGAATACAGTTCATGTTACTGTAATGTACATGTAGAAACTGTTGAATTGGTCTATGTTTTGCAGTGTATATTCAACAACAACAAAGAAAAAGCTGTAAAAAAAGAAAAAAGCAATACAGTCCATCTCTTCCAGACAGTCCAAGGTGCCAACAAATCATAGAGCAATTTTAAAGCTCTCCCCAGCCCTCGGACTGTCTGATAAAGACTTACGATCATCTGTGTCTACTTTTTCTTCATTTGTTGAAAGCTGAGATTCATACTTGGACAACTGCTTCTTAATTTCCATGTCATCATCATTTTCAGGTTTTTTCTGATTCTAAAATAGCAAGGGAAAGCCATACTTTAAAATGGTTGATTTATTTATATGTACAGCTTTAAATAAATAGTTAAGCAAAAGATACAGAAAAAGATAGCAGAATAAAAGCTCTCTATTGGAATAAAAGCCATCTAAAGGCAGGAGTTGTACCTTTATTTGCACAGCATCTAGTACTGTCTTAGGCAGAGAAATTGTTCAGAAAGTTGAATTTATGTTTCAATAATTTGAAATATATATAGGAAATATCATATATTAATTTTCCTGAATGTTCCCTAGGTCATCTAATTGTCATCTCTACACAGCAACATAGCAGTCCCTGGATGTTGGTAAGAAATGCACAGTCTCAAGCCACACCCCAGACCTAATGAACTGGAATGGGGAGTTTAACCAGATCCCCAGGTGTTTCATATGCACATCAAAATTGAGAAGCACTGCTTTAGGCTATCAATTTTGAACTAGCTAGAGGCATTTCCTTCAGTCATTTAGTGATTTGCTAATCAATTATTTGGTTTCCTCCATAACTGTCTTGGACAATGAAACCCCATACTTCTTGTAATTTTTAAAGCCTAAAACTATACTGTGACATTGTTACATGTTTTTAAAACTAAATACTTTTCTTCTAGTAAAACACCATGAACAAGCTTCCTCCTTTTAAACAAGTCTCTATTAGCCTTGAATTTATCAGTAGGCTTTTTAACCATCTCAAATACCATGCTTGAGATTGTGTCCCTATCTGAGTAGAATCAACATTTATATTGTATAAAGTTCACTGTTTGAACAACGGTGCCTGTGCATTATCTACTTACACAGAATATTCATGATGATGAAAACTGTCACACAAATAATAGATTTTGTGTTACCTCTGAATATGACTTAAAACAATCACCACCATACCTGAGATTTTATTCTAGCTCTAACAGCGTATATCTGTACGTTCCTAGCTTATGAGAATTTTTAAAAGCAAATGCATAAATTTTTATACTCCTACCACAATGCCTCAAACAGAACGTCTTAGCCATCTAGGGCTCCTGTAACGGAAATACCACGAATGGATGGCTTTAACAAAGGAAATTTATTCTCTCACAGTCTAGGAGTCTAGAAGTCTGAATTCAGGGTGCCAGCTCTAGGGGAAGCCTTTCTCTGCCGGCTCTGAGGGAAGGTCCTTGTCATCAATCTTGCCCGGTCAAGGAGCTTCTCAGTGCAGGGACCCTGGGTCCAAAGGACACTCTGTTCTCCTGGCTCTTGTTTCTTGATGGTATGAAGTCCTCACATCTCTCTCTTTGCTTCTCTTTTATACCTCAAGAGATTGACTCAAGACACACCTAATCTTAGATTGAGCAGATTGAGTCCTGCCTCATTAACATAACTGCCTCTAATCCCACATCATTAACGTCATAGAGGTAGGATTTACAACACATAGGAAAATCACATCAGATGACAAAATGGTGGACAATCACACAATACTGGGAATCACGGCCTAGCCAAATTGACAGGTATCTGGGGGAGACACAATTCAATCCATGACATAGAGAAAACTACATAAATATTTGTGAACATAATGCACTCAGGGTATCTTAAATCACTTCTGTTGGTGCTTTTTTCCTCATTGGACAACGGCTCTCTAGAACTTATTTTGTTAGCTGCTGTTGAGTCTGACCTTATGTACAACAGAACTAAACGTTGCCTGGTCCTGCATCATCCTCACAATCACCAGCATGTTCATGCCTATCATTGCGTCTATCATGCTAAAATCATCTCACCAAGGGTCTACCATAACTCTTGTTGGCCCCCTACTTCACCAACATGATGCCCTTCTCCAGTGATTGACACTACCTGACGACATGTCCAAAGTAAACGAGTTAAACAATGTTCTGTTGTGATCCACAGGGTTTTCAATGGCTAATTTTCGGAAGTAGATCGTCAGGCCTTTCTTCCTAGTTTGTCTTAGTCTGGAAGCTGCTGAAGCCTGTCTACCATGGATGAACCTGCTGGTATTTGAAATACCAGGGGCATAGCTTCCAGCATCATAGCAACACACAAGCCACCACAGTATGACAAACTGACAGATGGGTGGGTGTAACCCATTCTTTCCTTCCAAAAGTATTAATTAAGGGTCTATAATGTCCTCTACGCTAAGTGCTGGCAGTATAACCTAAAACGAGATACTTGCAATCCCTGTTCTCATGAAGTTTATCATCCACAAGGAGGGAGATTTTATGCAGATAATGATTATACCATTTTTTTTGTTGCAACTGTCGATACATTACACAAAGTGCTGTAAGAGTGCATAATAACACTATGTCCTAAGACAGGCTTCCTTGTCTTGAGACAGCCATTACACCAAGATCTAAAGATAAGCAGGAGCTTGCTGGGTGAGAGGGGTAGGTGGTATTCCAGTAAGAGAGAAAAGCACATGGGAGTGCCATGAAACAAGAAGGAGCCAGCCTCATGAAGCTGGGGCGGCTAAAGGAGATAAGACAATGTAAACCATAATAAGGGCTATGGATTTTGTCCTAAAAGCAATGGGAAGTCATTCCAAGAAGGATTTTAAGTACTGGAGTACAATCTCATCAGTTTTTTATTTAAATAAATCACTCACCTGCTCTGTGAAAACTAGACTGGGAGAAATGGAAAACAAACTGTGGACCAGCCACTTAGGAGGCAACTGCTGTCACCCAGGGAGGAGATAACCATGGCTTGGACTAGAATGACAGCAAGAAAAGATGGAGAGAAATGGAAACGTTCTGGACGCACTTAGGGGGTTGAATTTAACAAAACTTGATTGGAGATGGGACTGAGGGTGATGTACAGATGACTTTCAGGTTTCCAGCATGAGCAGTAACCTTCACTGGTAGAAGGAAAGTTTGAGAATGAACTATCATAATGGTCTAACTATATATATCAGGTATGAGATGTGACCCTAATTCGAATGTAGAGATTTTAGATTGCATATATAGCACGTGACCTTAAACTATGATATAGAGAATCTCCCAGGGGTGCAGGACAGATCTCATAAGGAAAATCCTAGGTGAAACGCCCCCGTAAGGACCTGAAGAGCTCCCAACACTCACCATATGATAAATACTTTTTTTTTGAGAAAACTAAATGAGACTAAAAACTGTTAGCAAGTAATACTACGATCTGGATGCCCTTGACAAAAGACAATCTCAACACACTTTTAAAAAGAGAAGAGAACATATACTATTTGCAAAACTCTAGGGGTAAGTCCTTGGCTAGAAATTATGCTTACTTGCTGTTAATGTTTCTCACACACTCAATGACCTATTATGTGACAAACACTATCCTAGGCATTGTAGGTACATCAGTAAACAAGACAGTTCTTGACTCTTAAAAAGTTTACATTCTAGTAGATACTACTATATTATGGCAGAGATTATCAAATTTTTTTACTATAACCCACAATAATAAATACATTTTATATTTTACCCCAACACACATACACACTTAAATACAAATAATCCAATCTAGTTTTACAAAGTGATACCTTTACAACAGGTAAAATGCTATATTACTGTTGCATTTAAAAACACAGGTCATGACACAAATTGATTTTATTGTTGTTTTTGTATACTGTCCACCAGCAACCTTATAGGACAGAGTAGAACTGCCCCATAGGGTTTCCAAAGCTGTAATCTTTACGGAAGCTGACTGCCACATCTTTCTCCACAGAGTGGAAGGTGGGTTTGACCCACTGACCTTTCAGTTAGCCGCTGAGCACTTAACCACTGCACCACCATTTTATAACCCATTAATGGGTTACAACCTAGGATTTGAAAAAACTGTTCTGTATCACATAATAGAAAGCAGCCTAGCTCTTAAGAGTACCAGGTTAAAGAAAAGCACTGTTTAAGTAAAATTTGAACACAAAATTGAAAGCAGAATGTTAAATAAATTACATATTTGAACTAGAAACACAGTTAAAAGAAAAACAAACAAACAAAAAAACCCTAAAAACAATCATTCATTTTAAAAGTAAAAATAATTCCAGAAGATCTAAAAAAGTAGGCTGTATCCTTCCTTAAACTAGTTGAAGTAAAGCAATTGGGGCAACTGGAATATGGAAGATTACTTTCTAGATTAAGAATAGGTGTCCTTATTTCACTTCTTCCCTCTCAGTTTAGGTTCACTAAAGAGAGGGTTCAAAATTCGTAATTTGAGAGTTTGGTGACTGTAAAATCCATTTTGTTGTTTTTGTTAGGTGCCGTCGAGTCGGTTCTAACTCGTAGCAACCCTATGTACAACAGAATGAAACACTGCCCTGTCCTGGGCCATCCTCACAATCCTTGCTGTTTGAGCCCATTGTTGCAGCCGTTGTGTCAATCCATCCCGTTGAGAGTCTTCCTCTTTCACTGACCCTCTACCTTACCAAGCAGAATGTCCTTCTCCAGGGACTGATCCTTCCTGATAACATATTCAAAGTATGTGAGATGAAGTCTCGCTGTCCTTGCTTTTAAGGAGCACTCTGGCTGTACTTCTTCCAAGACAGACTTGTTCATTCTTCTGGCAGTCCTTCATATATTCAATATTCTTCGTCAACAGCGTAATTCAAAGGCATCAATTCTTCTGTCTTCCTTATTCACTGTCCAGCTTTCCCATGCATATGAGGCGACTGAAAATATCATGGCTTGGGTCAGGTGCACATTAGTCCTCAAAGTGACATCTTTGCTTTTCAACACCTGAAAAAGGTCTTTTGCAGCTGATTTGCCCAATGCAATACGTCATCTGATTTCCTGACTGCTGCTTCCATGTGCACTTATTGTGGATCCAAGTAAAATGAAATCCTTGACGTCATATTTTCTCCATTAATTATATTTTGTTATCTTTATGTTGAGGTGGAATCCATACTGAAGGCTTTGGTCTTTTTCAGTAAGTGCTTCAAGTTCTCTTCACTTTCAGTAAGCAAGGTTGTGTCATCTGCATATCCTTCAATCCTGATGCCATGTTCTTCGTCATATAGTCCGGCTTCTCAGATTATTTGCTCAGCATACAGATTGAATGAGTACGGTGAAAGGATACAACTCTGACACACACTCCTCCTGATTTTCAACCACACAGTATCCCCTTATTCTGTTCGAACAACTGCCTCTTGGTCTATGTACAGGTTCCTCATGAGCACAATTAAGTGTTCTGGAATTCTCACTCTTTGCAATGTTATCCATAATTTGTTATGATCCACACAGTTGAATGCCTTTGCCTTGTTAGTAAAACACAGGTAAACATCCTTCTGGCATTCTCTGCTTTCAGCCAAGATCCATCTGACATCAGCAATGATATCCCTCATTCCAAGTCCTCTTCTGAATCTGTCTTGAATTTCTGGCAGTTCCCTGTCGATGCACTGCTGCAACCGCTTTTGAATGATCTTCAGCAAAATTTTACTTGTGTGTGATATTAATGATATTGTTTGATAATTTCTGCATTCTGTTAGATCACCTTTCTTTGGAATGGGCACAAATATGGATCTCTTCCAGTCGGGTGGCCAGGTAGTTGTCTTCCAAATTTCTTGTCGTAGACGAGTGAGCACCTCCAGTGCTGCATCCGTTTGTTGAAACATCTCAATTGGTATTTAGTCAATTCCTGGAGTCTTGTTTTTCGCCAAGGCCTTCAGTAACAGCTTGGACTTCTTCCTTTAATATGATCGGTTCTTGATCATATGCTACCTCCTGAAATAGTTGACCAATGCTTTTCATTAACAGTGACTGTGTATTCCTTCCATCTTCTTTTAATGCTTCCTGCGTTGTTCAATATTTTGCCTACAGACTTCTTCAAAATTGTAACTCAAGGCTTGATTTTTTCTTTAGTTCTTTCAGCTTGAGAAATGCCAAGCATGTTCTTCCCTTTTGGTTTTCTAACTCCAGGTCTTCACACATTTCATTACAATACTTTGTCTTCTCAAGTTGCCCTTTGAAATATTCTGTTTAGCTCTTTTACTTCATCTTTTCTCCCATTTGCTTTAGTACTCTACGTTCAAGAGCAAGTTTCAGTCTCTTCTGACAACCATTTTGATCTTTTCTTTCTAGTCTTTTTAATGACCTTTTGATTTCTTCATTTACGATGTCCTTGATGTCATCCCACAATTTATTTGGTCTTCGGAAATTGTTTAATGTGTCTAATCTATCCTTGACATGGTCTCCAGATTCAGTTGGGATATACTCAAGGTCGTATTTTGGTTCTTGTGGACTTGTTTTAATTTTCTTCAGCTTCAATTTAAACTTGTATATAAGCAACTGACGGTCTGTTCTGCAGTTGGCCCCTGGCCTTGTTCTGACTGATAATATTGAACTTTTCTATCATCTCTTTCCACAGATGTAGTCCATTTGATTCCTGTGTTTCCATCATTTGAGGTCTACATGTATAATCGCCATTTACGTTGTTGAAAAGAGGTATTTGCAATGAATAAGTCATTGGTCTTGCAAAATTCTATCATGCAATCTCCAGTGTCGGGTCTATCACCAAGGCCATATTTTCCAACTACAAACTGAAAGATGCATGGTGGGTAAAATCCATAAGGACAAATATTCAAAGGGTGGACTAGGATGCCCCTCTCCAGTTCACACATGCACTTTTGCTCAGTAAGATCAGCTATGTAAACCTCCATCAGACTGAGTCCAGCACAACTAGATGGTGCCTGGCTACCACCACTGACTGCTCTGACAGGGGTTACAATAGAGGATCCCCGATAGAGCTGGAGAAAAATGTAGAACAAAATTCAAACTCACAAAAAAGGACTAGACTTACTGGTCTGACAGAAACTGGAGAAACCCCGAGAGTATGGCACCCGGACACCCTTTTAACTCAGTACTGAAATCACTCCTGAGGTTCACTCTTCAGCCAAAGACTAGACAGGTCCATAAAACAAACAATAATACACATTGCTCAACCATGTATACAAGACTAAATGGGCACACCAGCCCACAGGCAAAGACGGGAAGGCAGGAGGGGCCAGGAAAGCTAGATGAATGGAAATGGGGAACCCAAGGTTGAGAGGGGAGAGTGTTGACACGTCGCAGGGTTGGCAATCAATGTCACAAAACAATATGTGTATTAACTGTTTAATGAGAAACTAATTTGCTCTGTAAACCTTCATCTAAAGCACAATTAAAAAACAAAAATAGAATTAGCTGCGTAGCCTCATACGTCTTCATGCCAGTTATGCTTATTATAATTGCACAATTACATATTGCTCAAACTATGAACTGAAATAGTTACTTCTATGAAAACTAAGCTTTATGCTTTTGAAAGACTAAAGGCAAGATGCTAAAAAATAGCTATCAAATTATGTAAAGCAACCACTGTATATAATTTTTTACATTTCCAAAATCTAACCTCTACACTCAGAATAGCTTTACAAGTATATAACCTCTTGCTCAATTTTAGAGAAACCAAAATTGAAAATTGTAGATGAAAAAGCATGGCTGTCAAAGTAAAATGATAAACAACTCTAACTCAAAGAAAATCTTGGTCTCAATCAAAAGACCAGAATATGAATGTATGAAGACGTTTTAAGTTAAATTTAAATGTCCAAGATGTATACACGTCATTTCTAAGGGTCTCTACTCTGATGGATTATTTTGTCTGACTTTCTGCATAACATCAGATAAAAGGCAGATAACCACAAGCAACCTGAAGGGTATTTTTAAAATCAGAAATAAAGAGCCTACTGTTTGGCTTCAAACTATTTTCTGGGGGTAATTTGTAAAAGTCAAGTTTATAAAAGTCACATTACCTCTGAAACAAAACAGAACATTCATCTACTTGGTGAATAATTTAAGTTAATCATAACTAGTCATAATCACCAATCAATAGTTATGGTGTATCCACAATGCTTCTAATCTTTAAGACCCTACTTGTACCTTGTTGGTCTTTTATGTAGATGTACATCCTTACCTTTCTTATCTTCTCTTGAGTTTGAAGGGAATACTAAAGACAAAAAACTCCCGGGTTATCAAGATATAGAACTGCTCTCTATGAATGCCTCTGGAAGCAGAAGTACCTCAAGGGTACTGAACTCCCTCTCAAATGAGGATCATACATTCTGGACAAACTGTTCTTACAGTCGAGTTAGACTACTACTCTGAATAAATGTCTGATGGACAGAAAGTACTCAGTATACTTTTTCTTACCTTTTTCTTCTTATCTTTAAATTGCTTGATCAATGTGAGTACGTGTTCAACAAGAAACATGAAATACAAGCCTCCTAGAGCTGTCAGACCCTTCCATGTGGAATCAAAATAAGTACTTTCTTCTATGTTTTGAGAAGACAGATGACTGAAAAGTGGCCCTCTCTTCATTTCCATTGCTGGTTCTTCATGGTTATGACTATGGTGGTGACTTGCATGAGACTAAAGACAAAACAATGTGTATTTTATAAACTCATTAGTTTCATATAATATGTCAGAAGAAATGGCCAAGATAATAGGTCAAATTTGAAATCATTCAGAATTAGGCAATTAATGGGATACTTCAGAGTTGAGGGGGAGGTTTAGGACATTAAAAATAAAATAACCAATGGGCTGCTAGCTACATTAGAACTTAATGTATGTAACGTACCATGGCACTTAATAAATAGGTGGGTCTGTTTAGTCTAAAGACAGATAAGGCATACATTCCCCAATAACCTTCATAATATATAGGTAGTGGATCTTTTCAACATTTTACAAGCTATCATGACCACAAATAACAGAGAACTGTTAGAACTAACAGGAACATAGCGTCTACTGCTTATACTCCAACTGAAAAGCCGATATCAATATCACTGCTATGTTCACAAGCTTAGTCTGTATATAGTCATGGGCCCTGGCAGGTACCTGAGATCCAGATGCATTGCCCCAGCAACCTGTTGCTGAGTACAAAACTAACTACTGCTACTGCATCTTAGGGAATCAGGTGTGGAATACATTAACAAAGGGGAAATGGGGGTGCCAGGGTCCACCCCATGCATATACAACAGGTACTCCTAAACATCTAGTCAAGGAGTTTGTCATAGCAGAATAGTTTTCTTTCACCACTGAATGGAGTATGATGAGATTTGTAGTGCTCTGGGAATGGAGTGGTTTCCTTTTCCCACTTACCTGCAAACCTCTAACAGAAATTTAAAAATTCCCTTGAAGGGAAAAGCAAAAAAATACGAGAACATGTACTAAGATCTAACACAAAAATGCAGCTTTCCATTACCAAACATATTTTAAAACCAACTGCTTTAAACTAAATTCCTAACCTTTTATACATACCTATGCAAAGAATTCTACTACAAACCAAAAAAACTCATAATTTTTTCAATGTAATAGAATAAAATACACCAATCAGACAAATTACTGTACTTACATGTGGAAGAAGGTGTAAAAAAGCATCACCACTCAATGTCCCAACGGCCAATGCCACGAGGAAACTTAGGAGAAATTTGAAAAACACCCGGTTCATGAGAGGCACTAAGATAACACCCAGCAAGGACAGGAAACTGATGATGGAAATGGCTATAAAGCCACCAACCCAGGCTGTCAAAAAAAACAGAGCAATGGAAAATCATAATATTGATAAATTTTAAGGGATACTTTCGGAGAGGAGCATAAAACAATTTATAAAAGAAGGGAAGCTAAAGAATTACAAATTTAGTGTAATTAGGACTATGTTAATAGAACAATAACCAAGTAATATGTAGCTAGCTCAAATTAAGAATCTAACTGGTACTTAAGAACCCTCCATGTAAACAGAACGTACCTAGTGGAAAATTTTCCAGGCCAATAGTGGGGGTGAAAGGAGGAAAAAAAAAAAAGGGTTACCAAGGGTGAACTCTAGCTCACTTGGCAACAGCTTTCAGATTCCTATGACAGCTAAATTATGAAAGAGATAAAAGTTAAAAAAATAAAAAAGATGGAAAAAGAGAAGGAAACCAGGTCAATTTCAGCAGTGAACAAAGCAATTCTTATAGTTTTGGAGCAAAATGACTCTACACTAATAGCAGAGCTTTTATCAGTAAGAATATACCAGAGTTAGGCCCCTAACCAGCAGACTGACTCTGCTCCAAACAGTGTAACATCACAAAAGTCCAAATTTCAGAAGACCCTGACACTTTCTATGGGATGACCTCAGACAAGTCACAATCAAAGTTTTATTAATTTTTTTTTTAAAGGGCGAGGACTACAAATGCTTCCATTCTTCCATTCAGGGCAGGGATCAATTAAGATAATGTATTTGAACTGCTGAAAAATGAAGAGGCTGATGTAAATACAAAGAAAAGTACAACATAAATGTATCTACTAGGAATTATTTTTACATAAAAAAATGGCAGCCATACCTATTTGTAAAGAATAGGTCTTTGGAGGGACTTCAGCTTTCTTCTCACTCGTTGTATGAATCAGACAAGATCTAGCATCAATTTGATTGATGATGGCTGGGCAGAGATAGTAGAACTCTGTTGTGTTCAGGAGAACCTGGATGCCCATGCCATGAGAGGCGAGCAGCTTTGAGGCATTGAAACACTGAAGAAAACAAAAAGCAGTGAAAATCACCTACAGGCATTCCCATTAAGCAATCCACAAAAGATGTCTGCTAATACAACACCTCTTTCTTAATGAAGCTACTTCTTCATCTTTTAAGCGAATGCAAGTTAAAATCAAGTTTTGTTTTGAGAACTTTAGAACTTGTTTCCAGCTACTGAAGAAACTACGTCACAATGATGATATCCTACTTCTGCCTACTTCTTCTTGTAAGAAGCAGTTATATCACCAGTCACCTAAGGGAAAAGCCTCCAGTGGACTAAGTCTGGGGATAAATGGGCATTCACAAGCCTGTTAACTCATTGTGTAAACCAATTAAGGAAATGAACTTTAATTTCCAGACAGGGTTTCACAGAGATTGAGAAATAAGTTGTTTTAGTACTGATGCCCTACTTGGCCTAAACAAGCCCAAGACATGTTTGTTTCTCTCCCAGCGATGACACTACTTACAAAAGCTTAGCTCAGTTCTGTCTACGTACCTGGCAAAATAATGATCTACAATGAGAGAATATTAAATTATGCACATTACTCTTAAAAACAGCAATGCTAGGTAATAAAACAAACCTGTACAGGCAGGTAATTGTTTTCAACAGTTTTAATTAGATACCAAGCTTAGTTGAACAGAATCTCCTCTACCCAACCTACCCTCCAGTTTCCACCCTAAAAAAAAAAAAAAATTGGCTGTAGCACCTGCTTCTCAGCTTCTGTAAAGATACTTTGAACTCCCTCAGTTCTCAGCTAATAATACTCAGAACAAACTTCATCACCAGTGTTACTATGGATATGATCATTAATAGATTATTCAGAATTAGGACAGTCATATGCTGGTTTGAATGAAGTGTTTAGTTCGCTTATTAAAATATATCAACTAATTCCTCATTCTTGACATTTCTCTGCCAAGGCAAATCCTGTACAGTGTGGAAGTTTATTCTAGAAAAACCACATGAACTCTGAACCTCACTGCCCAGTCTTTTCACTTGCCTGACACAAATGTTCTTGGAAGCTACCTCAACTTCAGTAACTCCAAAAGGCATCATGATCTCTCTGCCAGGGAGGTAGCACTGTTCTTGGTGTTCTTTAGCTCTTTCTACCAACACCTTTCTCTAAAACATGAATTCTAACTCCTGCTTTTTTAATTCCCTATCTTCTGTTTTTTATTAATAATATTCAATTTTAAAGAGTTTCTGAAAAAATAACTTTGACATCTGCTTTTCACAAATATTTTAAATTCTATATATAAAAAAATCTGACACGGCACTACTTCTAACCAAACAACTATTTCTCCAATATTGTATCAGGAAGGTTTACAACACAGAAGATACATATTGAGCTAAGTGCCTTTCTGAGAAGGCAGAAATTCCCATTTTAATAACCTTACAATTTTATCATATTTATTTTAAACTCCTTACAACTACAGAGAGAGATGGCAGTGATAGGACAAACAAGCATATATTAATTAAAAGAATGAACAGCACTCATCTTACCTCCTGAGTATTCTCATTTGTGTTTTTGGAATGCATAAAGCCTTTTCTGAGCTCACTCACAGATTCATTTGTTTTCCTACCAGCAAGCCGGCTCACATGGCTCTTCTCTGTGATACTGGGTGGAGTGGAACCACTCACATCTTTAAGGACTTTTCCAGGTTTCAGAGTCTCTACAGCCTCTAGAAAGTGAGTTCCTTCAGAGACAGCGTTATACACAGTTGAGGTCACTTCACTAGCACCAATGCCATCCTTGATTAAAACGTTTCTTCTACCATCAGCATTTTCTGGTCGGCGAGATCCTTTCCCCTGTTTACTTTTAGGATCTTTTCCTGAACTGTCAGAGTCATGGTCTGGGCAAAGACCTTTCCGATTATTTTTACTGGAAGCAGCATGATTATGGTGAGAGTGATGATCATGGTCAGAGTGATGATCATGGTCAGAATGATGATCATGGTCAGAATGATGATCATGGTCATGGTTTATATGGATTCTTTTAACCTTATCGATGCCTATGTTCTGAAGCAATTTTCTGAACCCTTCAACTGACAAGGAATTATTTTCTCCATAGCGGTGGAAAAGATGTTGTAGATGGTGTCGCTGTGTAGTAACTGCCAAGTCAACATTAATGCCCGACTCCCAATTTGGAACAATTTTCTCAGTGGTCTGAGGGAAAGCAGCTGAGGGACTTGTGACACAGGCCAGCAGAGTGAAGGTGAGGATCAAGACCACAGGTAAACTCCTCGCCATTGCACCTTCCTAGGGAAGACAGAAACAAAACTCTTGCCTTCACTTAGAATACAATTTGAATTAAGAAACCTCATGGTGGAATTCATGTCTAATCAAACAATCAAGCTCTACAGAGCATCATTTACTGGGACCGGTCTAATATAAGGTACTGCGAAGGATAAAGAACTGGAGTCCTAGGCTCTACCGTTGCATTGCTAAAACATGGGAAACAACTGGAGAGCAGCTAAGTGCTAAGAGACCCTGTGATTAGCACTGTAAAAGCAGTAGTAATTCTGAGATCGGAGAGATCATGTGGCCACAGTTATACTGGCAACTTCTCATCGCATTGAGAATAATTTAAAAACAAAACCCAAACTACGTCCACCATCCTGATTTTATAAAAGAACCTTTTCTTTCACCAAAAGTGAAAATGACAATCTCAGAATAATTCACATCAAAATTTTTTTAATACTCTCTCCCTGTAAACAAATCAATGGTGGTGCAGCTGTTAAAGCGCTCGGCCGCTTACGGAAAGGTCAGCAGTTGGCTCCACAGGAAAAAGATGTGGCAGCTTGCTTCTGTAAAGAGTTACAGCGTTGGAAACCCTATAGGGCAGTTCTACTCTGTCCTATACGGTCGCTATGAGCTGGAATTGAATCCGTGGCAATGTGTTTGATTTTTTTTTGGTTTTGCTCAATCCCACCCATCAAAAGTACCCAATTTTGCGACTTTCTTGTGTATCCCTCAGGATATTTTCTGTGCATACTCAAGAATATGTGTACTTTAAACACACAAATATGAACTTTTTTCTCACTGAACACTTAGACACATTTCATTGTCAGCATATATAATCTCATTCTTTCTGAATGACTGCATAATTAAGAGAATAGTTCTTTAAGTTAATGAAAAACTCAAGATTATTGTTCTTACTGTGCTACAGACCATTGAAAGTTTTATTATGGATTATCACGCTTACACACAACATTGTTTGGAACCAATGGCCTATGACCCAAAGAGGAGTTAGGGATTGAGCTGGGCCTTGCCAAGCAGAATTCAGTTATGCCAAGGAAGGTATAGTCAAACGAGTAGACAGATAGCTCAGGACTAGCAGATAGATGACCAGCACCAATGATGGATGGTGATGGTGGCCAAACCCATCTACCTCCAGCAAAAGACACAGAGGTGGCTTTCTGGAGTGAGAGAGCAAGAGCTTGTGGCAACCTAGCTCCATCACTTTGGGTTGTTCTTCCTTGACCAGTCTCACACTCATCACCTCATCTGAAAGTCCAGTTAATGCCCATTTTGCAGGGTAAATGAGAAAACCACATAAATAAATACAAGCGGAGTGCTCTACAAACTGTCATGTGCTGCATAACCGCTGCTTATCATACTGGGAGAAGCGGAAAATGGAGGTTACACTCCTGAAAAAAGAATCTTCGGGGCCTGAAGTTATGGGAATTCATTTAACGGGCAAAAGAGAACCATTAAGAAATCACTCACAGGAGGGAGGCAAGGAGTGGGGTGGGTGGGGACAAGCACCAACGGATGGCGCAGGGGACAGCTCAAAGCAGCATGGAGCCTCTCTCCAGAGAGGATGCTCTGAGAGCTGCTGCGGACCCGCCGGCTGATCGCCTTCCCTGCAAGTCGGCGAGTGTTAGAGGAAAAAAGAAAGGACAGCAGGCCCGCAGAAAAGAGGCGAGTGGAAAAAACGTTAAACAGGGCACAAAACTTTGCTCCTATGGGCTCTTTATTTTCAAACATGTCAGTATCTTCTTCGCATGAGATGCAAAGTACAAACCGTCTCCTCCGAAAGTCTTCTTCTGTGGACCCCGATGCCCATCTGTGCACCCCAGATAAGGACACTAGACTCTCTAATGCGAGCGGGCGCCCACCGTGGGCTCCCGTCGGCCTCCTGCGCCCGCCCGGCCTGCGGGCTCCCCTCTCCAAGCCCCCCCGCCCCCGGCCTGCAGGACTCACCTCTCCGCGCCCTCGCGGTCCCACGGCCCGGCGCGTAGGTCCAGTCGGTCCAGGAGGAGCAGGGCTGGCCCCGTGCTTCTCCCTCCGAGAAGCCTCTACAGGGCGCGGAGAAGAGGCGGCTTCATTCGTCCGGCCGCCCCAGTCCGGAGCCACTGGGAAGCCGTGCCCCGCGCGCCCTCGCCTACCGTAGCACGAGGACAATCAGTGATTACTGCCGCGCTTAGAGCTCAGCCGGGAATCGCCGCCTCCGCCTTCCACGACTGCGGGGCATGCGCAGTGCTGCTCCGAAACCCCGTTCCTAGCAGCGGATCCGCTACTCCGCGTGTTCGCCGGCGCCGCGGGGCTCCTAGGGATGGGGGGAGGGGGAGGTGCGGGGCTGGAGGAAGTGGAATGGCTAGGACAGGCTGAGCGCTGAGACCAGTTGAGGGCTCTTCCTTCGTCAAGGCCCCCAGGACCAGCCCTATCCACTGCTAGGAGCCTGGCCGTGAAGGGCAGCGGGATATTCCTGACGCTGCCTTGGTACGAAAGCCCCAAGACTCCTTGGAGAGTCCCGAGCTACTCCGATCGGGTTTTCGCTCCTGGAACGGAGGCCGAGCTTCTGCGCTGGACCACAGTGGGACAGATGGGAACAAGTAGCGGCTGCCGTGCGCTAGAGCAGTTCAATTGGTTGCGGGAGGCGGGGCCGGCAAGGGGCGGGTCCTCCTTCACCCTGCCTCGGCCCGCCTCAGAAAACAGAGCCGGATGACGCAAGCGTGGGAGGTGGCCTGGGGAGTAGTTCCGCTCCGAGGGCGGAAGTGCATTTCCAGGTCTCGGCCGCTGAGCAGCCAGCAACATGGTGGCTCCAGTGTTAGAGACGTCTCATGTATTTTGTTGCCCAAACCGTGTGAGGGGATCCTTGAGCTGGAGTCCTGGGCCCGGAGGGCTTCTGGCCTTCGGCACGTCCTGTTCTGTGGTGCTATATGACCCTCAGGTAAGAGGGATGGCACTTCTAGGGCCAAGCCTCGTGGGGCTGGCAGCCGCTGCGTCCAGCATGCACTGAGGAGAGCTTAACCTGAAAACGCATTGCTTGCTGACTGTCGTGCTGTTAAAGAATCAGGTTGGGTTTTAAAAGATTTGAAATTTAGGTATGGATTAAAGCCATCATTCCACAGATGTTGTCTCATTTATTTGCCTTCAAAACCAAGCCAAACCCACTGCGGTCTAGTCGATTCCGACTCATAGCGACTCTACGAGACGGACTAGAACTGCCCCATAGGGTTTCCAAGGCTGTAATCTTTACCGAAGCGGACTGCTACATCTTTTTCTTCTGAAATAAACAGTTGGGAGGGTTCCAGTCGCCGACCCTTTGGTTAGCAGCTCACCGCTTTAACCACTGCGCTGCCAGATCTCCTTGTATTTCTCTTAGGTCGTTTAATAAACACTTTTTGTGTTGAATTTTAAAGAAATATTACTTACACCTTAGCTACTGGACTGGACATTTTAAAGAAAGTACCATTCTGAAAAAAGGCCTTAGACGATGGCTACCCTAAGCACTGGTTTTGAGACAGGAGCTCCTCATTCCCTGAACTGTACCTACTTTCTTTCACCTCATCAGTTGATTCTTTTCTTGGTCCTTCTCTACCAAACTTCTCAAGTGAGTAGTTTTTTGCATGCTCCCCAGAGTTCTTTATGACCCCCGTTTCCACTCGCTAATTTTGAACAATACGATTAGTGTTGCTACTGAAAACAAGACTAAGTATAAAGATTAAAATCCTGAAAATTAAAACACAGTGCAGGATATGGCTATATGTATTTCTTACTGCCGTGCTTTATTAATTTGATTAAGAGTTCCATTATCTTTAAATACCCTTTGCAGATCTAAATTTATATATAAATTTTCCCGTATCTTGAATTTGCTTGCTTCTTCCTGGTTTTTGTTTCTTATTTTTGCCATGCTTATCATAAACTTGTTTGTACTTGTTACCTCTTAAAATGAAAATTTCACCCACAACAATTGCTATTAGCCTTGTCTCATACTAACCTTGGATTTATATGCTGTCCATACCTTTGTAACACCAATAGTCTCCCCCCTCCCCCGCCCCCATTATAGGCTTTGGAGCCCTGGTGGCACAGTGGTTAAGAGCCTGGCTGCTACCCAAAGGTCGGCAGTTCGAATCCACCAGCGGTTGGGTATGGGGCGGTTCTGCTCTGTCCTATAGGGTCACTATGAGTTGAAATCAACTCAACAGCGGTGAGTTTGTTTGTTTCTTATTATAGGCTTTAATTCTTTCTCTTACTAATGGTTTTGTTTTTGGTGAAGGTTTACACAGCAGCTTACGTTGCCATTCAGCAATTTCTACACATCGTTCAGTGACATTGGTTACTTCCTTCACAATATGTGAACATTCTCAGTATTTCTGTCCTAGTTATTCCATTTCCATTAATCTTGTTTCCCTTCCCTACTTTCTCATCTTTGCTTTAAAGTAATTATTGACCATTTGGTCTCATATAGATGATTTTTTTAAAAGGAACACAGTAGTCACGGGTGATATTCCTTATTTTGTGAGCCAATCTGTTATTTAGTTAAAAGGTAATCTCAGGCTAGTTTCAGCTCAAGGTTTAAAGAGTATCTCAGGGCAATAGCGTCAGGAAGTCCTCTAGTCTCAACTGCTCCAGTAAGTCTGTTTTTTGTTTGTTTGTTTGTTTTGTTTTAGGAATTTGAGGTTCTGTTCCACATTTTTCTCCCGTTCTATCAGGGTCCATCTATTGTGACACTGATCAGAATGGTCAGTAGTGGTAGCCGGGCACCATCTAGTTCTTCTGGTCTCAGGATAAGTGAGGCCATGGTTCGTGTAGACTGGTTTCTTCTTTGAGTCTTTGGTTTCCTTCTTTCTCTTTTGCTCCAGTCAGTTAGAGACCAATAGTTGTATTTTAGATGGCCGCTCGCAAGCTTTTAAGATCCCGGACACTACTCACCAAACTAGGCTGTAACACAATATTCTTTTAAAGTCACAGATGATAATGTGTTCTGCCTTACTGCTTTTGCCTCTAATGTCAGTTGTGGATATTTGAGATATGGTTACAAACGGTTAGGAAAAAAAATTTTCTTCTCCCAAGCCTAGAACTTATTTATTTATTATAAGAGCTATTCTCTTTAAAGTGACCATCTTTTAGCTGTTCCTGTTTTGGAATTTCCTCCAGGATTTAGTAACAGCTTTTAAAAAAACAAACACATTACCGTCAAATCGATTCTGACTTATGGTAACCGTATAGGTTAGAGTAGAACTGCCCCATAGGGTTTCCAAGGAGCTGCTGGTGGATTCAAACTGCCAACGTTTTGATTAGCAGCCGAGCTCTTAACTACTGCGTCACCAGGGCTCCATTAACAGTTTCAGTTATGACAAATTTTATTTTATATGAGTTGTTTTGAGTTTTGGAATATGCCATGCATTTACTAAGTAGCAAGAGAAAGCACATAAAACCAAGGGTAAACTTTCCAGTGACCCTCAACCAAGGACTGACTCAGCTGGAGAAGCCCCATCTTTCTGCAGCAGGTTTAATGGATTTGTGCTTCTGCTTTCCATCACATTTTTAAATTTTAATGATAACTTGATGACCATCTTGTGGGATTTTAACATACCGAAAAAGTATTTTGAGCCTAAAAACACTTTGTTTCGTTAAATACTTGCTGGCTGGGCATTTAGTTTAGTTCAGAAATAAGGTCTTGTCATGCTGAAATAAAATTTGGTGGATGATGTTCATTCAGTGAATTTTTGAGGACCCTCTATGGGCTTAGTCCTAGGCTAGGTGGTGATGACACAAAAATAATGGGTAATAATGACTCCTGCCCATCAAGGAATTCTCATTCTAGTGGGAAAGACAATGAAATACAATAAATTGTTTCCCAACCTCAAATAACCCACATATGAAATGTATTAGTTTATGCACATTTGCCTCTGTGTTTTCCTCGGTTGTGAGAATTCTGGTTGGCATTTAAGCAGATATGAAGCCAGTGCTATTGGCATCAAATAGAGAAAGGGGCTATGAAGAGGAGGGCACAGTAGTCACAGAGTTAAAATCTTCAGCAGATGATGAAATAAAGGAAGCTCAAGAGTGAGGTGGAGTTGGCAAGAGTAGCAGTCGGAGGGTCTCCTGAGAGCCTGGCAGTAGGCCCTGAGGCAATCCGATGTGGGAGGTCTTTAGTTGTAGCCTTGTGACCTTGTGTCACTAGGGCGGAAGAACCTACCACCACTTGATCAGCCGTGGCATGCAAAGTGGTTTAAATTGTTACCTTGAATTTGTATCTGTTAATCACAGATTTCTCTATTGAAAGAGCTTCTCAGCAACAAAACCCTCAAGCTGGTACAAGCGTGGTAGAAGTAGGTCCTGGAACCTGTGGGCACACAAGGAAGAGGCTCCTTGTCTGTCTTCGGTGTCAGGGCAAGCGCCTCAGACAAGAAGGATGTGCACACTGTGGGAGCGTGAGCAGGTGCTAGACAGGTGAAAGGCTGAGAGCTCACTTGGCAAGAATTTGACACTGGCAATGTGGAGAGTGGCAAGAAAGGCAGGAATGAATTACAGCAATTGGATGGTTTAAGACACAGTTAAAAAGTTGTGAATTAAGAAAAGTTAATCTGTTTGCAGTAATTCTGATCTTCAAAGCTTCAAAATAAAAAAATTCAAAATAAAATACAGAAATTTTATTTTGTTAATTTATTTCTCTAGGATAAATTCTAATTTACTAACTGGTGTTTTCTTTTCTAAAGAAAAGAGTTGTCATTACCAACCTGAATGGCCACACTGCTCGAGTCAATTGCATACAGTGGATTTGTAAACAGGATGGTTGTAAGTATTAACCTGATAAAGTCGATCTCAATGTTTTCTGAAAAAGTATGGTTAGTCACTTATCTTAGAGCACTTCTCTTAACAATAGCTTGTCTTGATTTCAATTGGTGTTATGCAGTTAGAAAGTAGACCAGTGAAAGACAAATCTCCATGGTATGCCCAATGAAATATTGACCTGTGGAGTATTTTTATTTCACAGTTGAAACCATATTAGAAACTATCCGGTTGTAACGTGGGTAACACAGCAATGCTTAGGATGAGGGTAGAGGCAGCCCTTGACTGTGGCAAGACAGCCATTTCCCACCTTAATTGATCTGAAAAGCCTGTAAGCAGGGCCCATGCTGAGGCCAGGGCTAGGACTCAGAAGACTCAGCTTCTAGGTCTGTTTCTGCCATGGAATAAGGTATTGCTTCTTTTAGGCAACGCATGGCATCTTTCTTTTAACCGCAGTTTGTACCTCAGTAACATCTGAAAAATGAAGACTTGGACTAGATCCAAGGACACATGAGGTCCGTGAGGCCAAAATTATTTTCATAGTAATACTAAGAAATTATTAACTATTTTCATTCTCATGCTGTCATGAGTATACAGTGGAGTTTTCCAAAGGCCACCTCATGTGATATCGCACATTAAATGCAGAAGCCCATATGAAAATTCAGCTGTATTCTGTTAGAGTCAGACATTAAAGAGATTTGCAGGAATGCAAACAGTGCCTCTCTTGTCACTGCTTTTGTTTTGTTTTGTTGTGAAATATACAGGTTTTTTTTTAGTGTTAAGTAAATTAATGAATAAGTACAAATTTCTCAGTTTAATTTCTAATATGGTCAATAGGTATATATAACCCACATAAACAAAAGCTCTTTGGGGTCCTCAAAAATTTTTTATATATTAAAACCTGTGAGAGCTGGAACTTGACAGGACTACCTTGTTTTTCCAAGTCTCGAAAGTTTTCCGCCTTTGACAAGGTAGAGTTTTACCACTTTTGTATCACTCATTTTAGTGGAAGATACTGAGTTTTTCTTCTCTGACAGGTTTCCACCTTACACAGGTTCTGGCTTTTGCAGGTTTTACTGTAGTATAAAGGAGTCCGGAGACCAAAAAATTTGAGAATTGACTGGACTGGATTATCTCCAAGTTTCTTTCATCTCTATATTCTTTGACTCACAGAACTTTTAATTAGCATATTGGTTGCTTTTACATGGTGCTTCCAAAATCATATGAATTTCCTCAACTATAGGGTTGCTATGAGTTGGAATTGACTCGACTGGCAATGGCTTTTTTTTTATTTTAAATATACCTGTTGCAATATTCTTATGGACCTAAGTTGATTTTATTTTTCATTGAACAAATATTTATTGAGAGCCTTGTGGGTCAGGCATAAATTCAGAATTTCCTGAATTAGTGAGATTTTGCTATGATTTTATCGGTGATATTAAAAAGTTTAACAAGCTACTTTTTTCAGTGGGTAACACAGGATGTATTAGATTAATGAAATAGTATAAAGGATGGCTGTTGGTGTGGATATTAAACCACAATCATAGTTATATCAGTTGCCGCCAAATGACATCAAAGACCGTTTGATCTCGGTACAGGGATTCATTATAAAATATTAATCTGTGCTTGTATATTTTGTCTTCTGTTAAAAGTTAGGTTACATGAAATGAATTACTTCTGTATCACTGTAGTCTGTTACAATTATTAATTTTCTCTAAGAATAGGGTTCTACTTCCAAATTATTCCAAGATATACCTTCTAATCCATATGATAATGGCATATAAAGTTTCAATACCATATCATATTCTTAATACATCTGATTTTTAACAAATTTCATGTACCTTATCATAGTTATTCTCAAAATCATATAGTTAGATAAATGGCTTAGTATCTGTGGCATGAAGAAATTGAAGTCATCAGGCAGCAGAGTTGGGACTTTAACCTGGGACTTCTGAGTACGAATCTAATGTTCTTTAGACCACACTCTAGCTGCTTCCTCTAAATGTCTAATATCTAGCACATAAGCCAGAAAAAACAAATAAATGGAAAATCCAAACCAAAATTATGTTCTCCCCCTCCCCTTTTTTTGGTTCTTATTTCTTGTCCTGTTGTCCAACAAGTTATAAGTGTTTAAAAGAGCCATTTTTAAGTCCGTGTCTGATATCAAACTTATGTGTCATATAAAGCATTTTCAAGTCTTAATGAAATAAGATATATCTAGCTATCAGTATCTCGTATATGTTATCCCTGCCAAAAATGTTTAACCTGAATCTAATCATGAGGAAACAATCAGACAGATTCAAACTGAGGGACATTCTGTAAAACAACTGACCTGGACTCTCATTGTCACCAAAAAAGAAAGAGAGAAAGAGAAAGCTGGGAAACTATTCTGGATTAAAAGAGACTAAAAATGCACAGTGTAATCCTTGGTTAGATTCTGGATCCAAAAATAGCCATAAAAGACATTATTAGGACCATTTGGGAAATTGTAATATGGACTGTATATTGCATAATAATACCGTGTCAATGCTAAAATTCTTGAATGTGTTAATTATATCATAGTAATGAGGGAGAATGTCCTAGTTCTTGGGAAGTATATGGTAAACCATTTGGGGATCAGAGGTCATGATGTCTGCAACTTATTCTCAAATGGTTTGGGGAAAAAAGCATGTATGTGTATATGTGTGTACACATATATAGAGCAAGCAAGATATTAAGTAAATATGGCAAAATGTTAACAGTTGGTAAATTTTGGTAAATAATATGTGGGTATTCTTAAAGTTTTTCTGTATCTTTGAAATTTTTCATAACAGCTGGGGGAAAAATTAAACAAAAAATATTTACCAAAATATACTTTTTTCCAGCTCCTTCTACTGAATTAGTTTCTGGAGGATCTGATAATCATGTGATTCACTGGGAAATAGAGAATAACCAGGTTGGTAGCAAGTTTATAGTTATGAGAAATGACTGTTTTATCTACATTTATTTTCATTTGCAACTTTAAAAAATTTCTGCTATCTTCTTCCTTTATGAAGTTCCCTCATTTTTGCTTATCAGTAACCTAGATGCTGAATCTCCTGGACTTCACAGGCCCTATACCCTTCTCTCAATTTGTTATCCCATATTCATATGTTGTCAATCCTTTCTATGAATTTGCAGTCATTTGGGAATAATTTCTTACATGAGGCTTTTGTTCTTTTTGTTTTCAGCGATAATGGGAATTAATACTGCTGTGTTAATATGGCAGCTGTTGCTGTGTGAATATAGATTTACATAATTCTGAGTAATGTTATAATATACAATGTGTGGTACGGATGGGCCTCTATTGATGGATATTTAGGTCATTTCTATTTGTAATCAAAGATTAAAAGTGAAAGATTAATGTATCAGATATTTGAACACCTGCCATACAGAAGATGTAGATGAGGCAAAGTCCTTGTATTCATTAAAATCATGTACATAGTTTTGAAGGCAAAATGTGCTTGAATAACTGAAGTACAAGGTTGGTTCTGTGGGTTAAAAAAAACCAAACCAAACCTGTTGCTGTTGAGTTGATTCTGACTCATGGTGACTCCATATGTTACAGAGTAGAACTGCTCCATAGGATTTTTGTTTGTTTTTGAGTTTTGATGATTATTATTTTTTAAATAATATTGTGTTTTAGGTAAAAATTTGCACAGCAAATTAGGTTCCCCTTTAACAATTTTTGTACAGGTTTTTCCATGCCATTGGTTGTAGGTTTTACAGTGTGTCAGCATTGTCATTATTTCCATTCAGTTTCTTCTGTTTCCATTGATCTGGCTTCCCTTTCCCTCCTTGCCTTCTCGTCTTCGCTTTTGGATAAGTGTTGACCATTTGGTCTCATATAGTTAATTGTTTAAGGGAGCACATTACTCATGGGTGATATTGTTTATTTTGTAAGCCAATCTGTTATTTGGCTGAAAGGTGAAATAGCTTCAATTCCAAGTTCAAAAGGTATCTTAGGGCAATAGTCTTCGAAATTCCTCTAGTCTCTACCAGTCCAGTTAGTCTGGCATTTTTTAGGAATTTGAATTTTGTTCTACATTTTTCTCCCATTGTATTTGGGACTTTCTATTGTGTCCCTGGTCAGAATGGTCAGTAGTGGTAGCTGGACACTATCTAGTTTTTCGGGGCTCAGGCTGACGGAGGCTGTGGCTCATATGGTCCATTAGTCCTTTGCATTAATGTTTTCCTTGTGTCTTTGCTTTTCGTCATTCTCCTTTACTCCTGTCAGGATGGGACCAAAGCTGTATCTTATATGGCCACTTGCAAGCTTTTAAAATCCAGACACTACTCACCAAAGTAGGATGTAGAACATTTTCTTTATGAATTATGTTACACCAGTTGACCTAGATGTCCCCCGAGACCGTGGTCCTCAGCCCTCAGCCCTAGTAACTCAGTACCTCAAGGTATTTAGATGTGTCTAGGAAGCTTGCACGGCTTTGCCTTGGTCAAGTTGTGCTGACTTCCTTTATGTTGTATATTGGCGGACTCCTTGTTCTTTATAGTTGTGTAGTATTCTATTGTGAGTATGTACCACAACTTGTTTATCCATTCATCCTTTGAATGGCATTGAAGTTGTTTCCATCTTTTGCTATTGTGAATAATGCTGCAGTGAATATAGATGTGCATATGTCTATTCGTGTCACCGCTCTTATATCGCTAGGAAATAATACCTAGGAGTGATTGCTGGATCGTAAAGTATTTCTATTTCTAGCTTTTTGAGGAAGTGCCATACTATTTTCCATAGCACTTGTACCATTTTACAGTCCCACCAGCAATGTATGAGTTCCAATCCCCTCCCAAACCTCACCAGCATTTATTTTCTGTTTTTTTGATCAATGCCGTTTTTGCAGGGGTGAGATAGTATCTCGTTATAGTTTTCATTTTATCTCTCTAATGGCTGATGATCTCAAGCATCTTTTCATGTATTTGTTGGCTGCCTGAATGTCCGCTGGTGAAGTGTCTGTTCACGTCCTTTAGAGATTAGACCTTTATCAGATATGTGATTGCCAAAGATGGTCCACAGGATTGTCTTGGCTGTAATCTTTTTGGAAGCAGATCGCCGGGCTTTTCTTCCATGGCGCTGCTGGGTGGGTTCAAACTGCCAGCCTTTGGCAGTCAAGTACAAACTATTTGTACCACACAGGGACCTGGCTTCCTGGGTAGGTGCTCTAAGTTGCTGCACCACAACCATAGTGCCGTGAAAGATCAGAGGATATTCAAGAGGTGGCCTTTGAGTTGAGCCTCAACGTGTGGAATGATTATCTTGGGAGGAATTAAAGGGGTGGGGATTCCAGGTAGAAGAAACAACATGAATGAAATCTTTCATGAGGAAGGAGGCCATCTGCTCCAGGAATTATGAGTATCCAGTTAAACTAGAGTCTAAGATGTCTTTAGGGCAGGACTTTCTGAAGTTTGTTCAGAGGATTATTCCTCTCTCAAGAAGTTCATGAAAAAAGGAATCTGGGGCCAATCAAATTTGCAAAGCACTGCGTATTATATACCCCTCTTAGAGAATCACAATGCATAGAACATAGTGAAGGCCTTGGAAAGTTCTGATATGAAGGAACCTGCTTACCTTTGTTTAATGAGCATTCCCCAACTTTTTTCATGTCTGAACCATTTTTTTCCTTTAAAGTTAGCATCCCTTGGAACTGTGAGGAACACAGTTTGGGAGATGTTACTGGATAATACACAGGGACAGAAACAGAATAGGAAAAGATTATATGGCAATTTGAATATCAGCTTTAAGAGTTTGTTCGTTATTAGCAGGCATTTGAAGTCATGGGTGACTTCTAAGCAGAAGAGTATGAATATCAAAAGAAGATTAATCCCACACCAGTGTGCCGAATTGGAATAGGAAAAAATATGAAGGCATGGAATGTATTTTTGGAAGAAAAATTATTTCGGCATTGATTAGATGGTTATCAGAGGGGTGGGAAGCTGGTGGATATGGGAGTGAGTAATCAAAGGGGATGAGATTCTGGCTTAGAGCCCTGGGAGAAAGGTGCTTCTATACAAAGAAATAGACAAGTCTTGTTCACTCATGACGAGTAAGAGGAAAGATGTGGCATTCAGTTGTATATGTCTCATTTGGACTGCTGTCCAGACACCCAGACTTGTCCTCAGAGAGAGAGGGGAGGCCTGGGAGTCACCTAGACTTGAATGAGAGCACCAAAGGGAAGTAGAGAAAGCCCGGCTCCTATTTGGGCTGATCTTGGCAGAGAAATCCAAAGGGAGAAGTATTTGAGTGCTCACTTTTTGAGACCTTGAGGTGAGACTGGGGAGATTCTTTCCTCAGTGCTGCTCCAAGTGTCTTCTGTCATTGAGAAGACTACAGGCTAAGCAAGCATCTAGTGGGCAGACAGCAAACTGAGATAGGGAGGGGGCAGAGAAAGGATGGTAAGGGCTGGATGGGGGAGGAGGAGAAAAGGAGGATGAAAGGCTTAAAAGAAAGATGAAGGGAGGAAGAGGATTTGGGGAAAGGGGCTACACCCTGTAAGCTCTTGACGGGCTTCCAGTTTCCTTCCCACAGTTACACATTTCTGTGCACACAGGTGCTCAATACACCTTGACTTCTGATAGAAGGAAATGATCCTAAGCTGGTGTAATGAGAGGCTTGGGTCTTTGAACAGTGAGCATTTTTAGAAAGCTGGTGAAATTCAGAGATTTCTTCTGGTGTGTGTGTGTGTGTGTGTGTGTGTGCGTGTGTGCGTGTGTGCATGTGTGTGTGTGCGCGCCCTTAATTATGTTGGGGAATTTCCCTTCTATTCCTGTTTTGCGGAGAGTTTTTATCATGAATGGATGTTGGACTTTGTCAAATGCGTTTTCCACATCAATTGATAAGATCGTGTAGTTCTTGTCTTGTTCTATTTATGTGATGGATTATATTGATTTTTTTTTTCTAATGTTGAACTATTCCTGCATACCTTGTATAAATCCCACTTGATCATGGTGAATTATTTTTTGATATGTTGTTGAATTCTGTTGGCTAGAATTTTGTTGAGGATTTTTGCGTCTATGTTCATGAGGGATATCGGTCTGTAATTTTCTTTTTTTTGTAGTGTCTTTACTTGGTTTTGGTATCAGGGTTATGCTGGCTTCCTAGAATGAGTTTGGGTGTATTCCATCCTTTTTTATACTCTGAAATATCTTTAGTAGTAGTGGTGTTAACTCTTCTCTGAAAGTTTGGTAGAATTCTCCGGTGAAACCATCCGTGCCAGGGCTTTTTTTTGTTGGGAGTTTTTTAATTACCTTTCAATCTCTTCTTTTGTTATAGGTTTATTTAGTTGTTGTAATTCTGTTTGTGTTAGTTTAGGTAGCAGTGTGTTTCTGGAAATTTGTCCATTTCCTCTAGGTTTTTAAATTTGTTAGGGTACAGTTTTCCATAGTATTCTGTTATGCTACTTTTAATTTCATTGGGATCTGTTGTGGTATTGCCACAAACCAAATTCTTATTCGGGTTATCTGCTGCTTCTCCGATTTTTCTTTTGTCAGTTTGGCCAACAGTTTATCGATTTTCTTGATCTTTTCAAAGAACCAGCTTTTGGTTCTGTTAACTCTTTTGATTGTTTTTATATTATCTATTTCATTTAATTCTGCTCTAATTTTGATTATTTGCTTTCTTCTGGTGCCCAAGGGCTTCTTTTGCTGCTCCCTTTCTACTTGTTCCAGTTGTAGGGTTAAGGTTTGATTTGGCCCTTTCTTCTTTTTGGATGTGTGCATCTGTTGCTGTAAATTGACCTCTGAACACTGCTTTTACTGTACCAAAGGTTCTAGTAGGATGTGTTTTCATTCTCATTTGATTCTATGAATTTCTTTATTCTGTCCTTAATTTCTTCTATAACCCAGTAGTTTTTGAGCAAGGTATTGTTCAGTTTCCATGTGTTTGATTTTTTTTCCTTGCTTTTT